TAACGTAACGTAACGTAACGTAACGTAACGTAACGTAACGTAACGTAACGTAACGTAAGTAACGTAAGTAGTACGTAGTAGAGAGTAGAGAGTAGAGAGAGAGAGAGAGAGAGAGAGAGAGAGAGAGAGAGAGAGAGAGAGAGAGAGAGAGAGAGAGAAAGAGAGAGAGAGATGTAATTTTGAGGCCCAAAAAGGTTTGATGAAGCTTAGAAAATCATCTCATAAGAAACATAAATGTAGACAATCTCTAGTGATAGAAGGTGATGTCTACACAATATATTATAAAGTATACATCCATAATATGAGAAGGACTATAATGGGTCACCAAAGCTTAATGAAATAGAATTAGAATATTGTTGTAAATACTGAATTACAACAAGGAAATAAAAGGAATAAGGCTTAGAATATGAAAGAGAATGGATGGGATGATTACCTTGAAGGAGTAAAACTAGACACCATGAGATTTGGCATACACCATCACTAGGACAAAGTGCTTCAACAAAGAAAGGGGAAGAGGCTCAAGGAAGACAATTCTCTCTCTACAATGGCTAATAAGTGTGTAGAGAATGGGGGTCAGCAAGGGTATTTATAGCCTTGAGGTGGTGAGACATTTTGAATGAGTCAATCCTAGCCATTGATGCTTTTCATCTATGGCACATGAGAGAGTTTTGATCCTAGCCACACATCTATGTCTAGCCAATAAGATCAATGGATATGATTTGCACACTTTTATCACTCCATGAAAACCCTAGATTGGCAATTTTATCAAATTGCCCTCATCCTGTAAAAGGTTTCTTTATAAGTCCTTTAACCATTCCATAATTGAACTTTATGAAAATGTTAAAACATCATAAGGGTAGAGGCATGCCCTTATGACAATTTGAAAAAGGTTTCCAACTAAGATAATATCTTATAGATTAGCCAATCACAATATACCATTCCATAACCTTCACATGGGCTTAGTCAATGAGATAATAACACACAAAAAGCTTCTTTAACCTTTATTTTCTCTCATGGATTAGGGTTTAAGCCAAAATATCATGTCTATCCTTAGCCCTTGGCAAATGTTTAATCAATTCACATATGTCAAATAACCATGTGACAGAATAATTTGACTTAATTTATAAAATAACTTTTAAATATTATACAACTTAAATGAACGAATAATACAATTCCAAAAAAATAAGACTCCCGCTGGTGATGACATCATGACGATGTCATCAGCATGGGTATCCATGTGGTCCACCTTGTGGCCACTTGGGTGGCACATGGGACCACCCCACAAGCTGTCCTGCCTTGGAATTACCCACAAAAAATTTTAAAATCCACATTTTTTGCTCTAAAAAAAATTCAAAAAACAAATATAAAAAATTCCCAAAATTTTTTTAACGATTCTCCACCATAAATAAACATTTTCTCATCATAACAAAATAGGAAAATTGGTAAATGAGATCTCTAGGCTTAAATCTAGATATTGGGGTGCTTCATTGTAATCATTTAAAAAAAAAAAATTATAAAATTAAAAAAAAAAAATCCACTTGTGTATCCTTTTCCTAAACTTTTTTAAGTTTGCCATGTTCCCATGGCCATGTCACGTCAGATTTGACACCTCATACCATGTCCTTGACTACGTCTAGGTAATAAACGCAACACACACTAAACCTACAAAGTGACATTTCCGTCATGAACAGAAAAAAAAACAGTGGCATACAAGAACGTAATGTCTATCTTTCAAATAAGTCCTCTCACACAGAAAAATGAAAATATTCACAAAGGTTATCATCATGGTAGCAACATCTTATTATCCATCACTGAAATATTATCCATCACAAAGGTTATCATCATGGTAGCAACATCTTATTATCCATCACTGAAAGAATAATAATTTCTTTTTTGACCTGTGCGAAGATATATTGTTTCCATGCAGCATTTCTCTATGACTTGGATGAATTTTTAGAACAGAAACAATGAATAGCTTCCAGAAAGAAGCCACTCAAATATGGGACAGCAGATTACCTCTATGGGGATAGCTGGTTCGCCAACACTTTCGGCAGATAACTGAGATGAATCACGTGGAACATTCACTTCCTTCTCCAAATTTTGCGGAGCTCTCTCAGATTTTCCCAAAAAGTAAACATTCTTTTGTAGCACACTATCTGAATCACTGCCTGAATGATCATCAGCCATAGATTCATGTTTTTTTGGAGAAAGCTTAGCAGGTTCCACAGTTGATGCTCTAGATTTCGGGCGATTAGATATGGGATTTGGATCCATCTGCAAAAGGGACTCCTTTCGTGCAGTGCCCAAATGTTCTTCAGCTGAGAATACTTGGTTGTTTCCATTACTCCCACAACTCTGAGGCTTCATATGTTTTTCATGTGACTTGTCCTCTAGGTCAACTTATAATTCATTTGCACAAAAGAACAGAAATCTTGACAAATAAGAAAGGCAAAATAAAGTTGACGTAAATGCATGAGAAAACCGAAATTACAATCGGGAAACACACTCACCAGACAATGTTTGTATGATTGAGAGGGAATTTGAAAACATGTATGTCTGCAATAGGATATGGTTGTTCAGCTATTTCTTCTTACTGAAAGGAGAAGAAAAATAATTGATAAAAGAGTAAGGCTACTAGAAAGAACAAACCTGGGAATCAACACTTAGGAAATCCCAAACCTCAATAGATCCAGATATTCTGGGAAGCAGAAGTAAACTCTGAAAGCACAAAAGGCAAACAAAAGTGACGAAGCATAATTGAGAATAGCAGAACATAAGGAGCTTATGAATTTCTAGCAAAGAGTGACATTACTATAAAGATTTATGCAGGCTCCATTTCACCGAAGTGTATCGCTCAACTTTTATCGTCAAGCTTAAAAGAAGTTGCATTTTCAAAAGACTTCACAAAGAAATTACCTTTAAGTATTTGTCAAGCAATTTACACCTTTCATGAACAACATAAACATCAAGACCTGATGAAAGAAAATGCTTTGGAGGCAAACTGAGATTGTACTCAGGGAATTCTTTAAGGCGTCGATGTAGCTCCTCAAAATGTCGAAATCTAATTAGAACACATTCATGGTTCAGCCTCAAGAAGGAGAAGCAATAAAACAGAAGAGGTTTTATGAAATTTTCAACCAGAAACGTCAAAGAAAGCAAGCAGGGTAGAGAAAGGCATCATGTTGGTGAGAGGAACTTTACTCCACAATCTACAGCACCTTCGTTTAATTGTCCAGGAATTATAATCAGCATCCGTTACAGCAATTGAATACACAGCAAAGGATTTAGCACCACTCTTGACAAGATTGGCACCCAACACCTGTGGAAAGGAAATAAACTCAACATCCTTCACATTTATATGTCCAGAATATCCCACCCAAGAGTTCAATTCTCAGTACAACTTTAAGCTTCCACGTGAAGATACCTCGCATCTCAGTTTGAAGAATGGGTTGCCGATGTTAGAGATTTCAGAAGATTTCAAGGATGGGTTAGAAACTTCAGAAACAGAAGAGGCCACAGATGAAGAAGAAGCAGTTGCCCCGCTAGAAACCCTACCCCAGTTTTGCAACTCTGGGTCGTTGTCATCACTGGACGCATCTGATTTGGTTGTTTCTTTTGATGCATTCAGGATGTCCTGTCCATCTCCTAACAAAAATGATGTTCTTTCAACCTCTTGCCACGTGCCCAACTTATGCTTATTTGACCTTGACTTTTTCCCGCCAGACTGAGATCTGAATACTCTGGGATAACGCACTTGAGCCTTACCACTCCTCCTTGATAGAGTGCCATCCGAACTCTCAAGAGGATGGCGCACAAGTGAACCAGCACCATTTCTCTTATTTTTACTATCCCAAACTTTAGTACCAGGAGAATCTAGACCTGTAATGTTATTGTTGTCATCATCCTCACTGTAAGAGCTCTCACTCGCCAGCTCAACCTCCTCCAACCGCACAACATGGTCGTGTTCATTCTTTTCTGGGTGCGGTATATTCATGGAGTAGCCATGGTCCCCACCTGGATGGACCGGAAAACCTTCTATTACATGGATATCAGCTTTACCAGACAAAACAGGATCCCCCTTAGAGGCATCAACCTTGACTTTTCCATTTTGTATTTGACACTCAGATGATCCTTTCAAAGAGTGATAAGTGCTCTCAGAAAAACCAGCTGATGATCTTCCCGAAACTTGATTGACAGGTCCAGTGGTTCCCTCTAACTTTTTGTAGTCCCGTCCTTTAGTCCACATATTTTCAAAATGCTCGGGAGCAAGAGCTTGAGTCTTCGTTTTGGACATGACATCCAACATCTGGCCCCATTCTCCCCCAGATCGGTGTGTTTGAATCCTTTTGCCATCTCTAGTAAGGGTATTTGGGGGCAAAGCTCTCGATTGCGATGAATCAGCATTGTTAACCACAGGATTAAGCTTGTTGCTCACATGCATCTGTCTTGTAGGATAGATGGTAGCCAATGAATTATGACCATATTGTGCTGCATCCTTCTGGATATCAGAAGTAGTATTTTCCTTAGTTCCATCTGAACTGATTTTGGAAACATCAGGTTTAAACTGCACTAGTTCTACACCTGATAAAGAACGGTCTATAAACCCAGAAAAATGATCAGTTGATGTCCTCGAAGATCCACCTGACTTACTCTGGGATGTCTCTTGCGCTGGACTCTTGGCAGCTTTATCAGCCTTATTGTTTCGCGAAAGAACAAAGGATTCAATCCGCTCATTGATAAACCTACCATCAGAAAACAGTGGAGAGAAGAAAATCAGATATAGTCAATGAAATACCCAAGCCAAAAGAATAAGTATCCCAGTAAATAAATATGTTTAATAATAAAAATGCCCAGTCAGATAAATAAGAACAGAGAGGAAACTATACTTGGGGCTAGCCAAATTCATAACTGGCCGCATCACTGCACATGCAAGAAGTTCTCTAGCAGTATATCGGAAAAAAGAACAATGCAGATCTTCAGGCCTGAAGGTAAAAGAAGTAAGTCCTTCCATCAAATGCTGCAGAACCTGGTAAAACAATGATAGGAAGTATTAGTATAGCACCAATAGTAAAATAAGATAAAATAAAATAAAATAGGATAAAATAAATTATTTCCAAAAAATGCTCAACAACAGAGGTGCTTGTCCACAATGGTTACTAAGGAGAAAAATTCAGGCTCACTAACCTTGTGCTCTGCTTCAGCAGAAAATAGTGCTGGATGCAACTTGTCTTCAGCAGCCAAAACTAACTTTAATTGTGTGTCACGTTGGTCAGCAGATAACTTTCTCAATTCATTCTTCCCGACCTTGGCCTGACCCACACGGTAAAGCTCTAACTGGTCACATATTAGATTAATAATATCCCTGCAGTAACAGATCCGTGAATTTCACTCTCAGATACTTTTCAAATTATCTAATCAATAAACTAAACACAAGTAAAGCTGTGGTTCTAGAACCTCGTGAGAAGATCAACAAGGTTTATATCTCTTATACGAAATGATATTTCACCAATAACGCCATGAACAATTTGAACAAGCTCTTCTGGGGCATCCCGATCAGGGGTTATACGTGAGTACCAAAGATCAGTCACCCATTCAGATATGAGATGCCTGGTGAAGTGCTCGATTGCTGCTTCAACAGGTGGAGAATCCACCTTCCTCTTCCAGTTATCTTTTTCAATGTTCAATTTTGGACTTTCAAAAGGCCTCTTCTGAGAGTGAGCAGTCACTGAGGTTGATTTGCTGTATCCAACAGCTCTTCTACGGTTGTCAAGGTCATATGAAATATATCGTAGGAGGATAATTACAGAGACTGCAGCAGGTATATTGATCCAAACAGAGGAGCTCGTCACTGCAATAAACATAGTAGCAGTAAGTTTTGTCATCCTTTTCTTTACGGATGGAAATAGTTTTTTTATGAAATAAACAAATGATGAAATCCAGTATCAATGAGGCATCTAAATACATCTAAGAGTAAACAAGGTGAACTTGAAATGACTAGCAATATCAGTAAGTTGTAATTCTAAACTGGAAATAACATCCTGAACTAAGACAGGACACATTCATTTTAAGGGAAAACCAAAGTCCACTGGGTCAAAACCATGAATTGGCAACCGGAAGAATGGGGTCCACCAGAACAGGACCTGAACCCAAAAGTTTCTCCATCCATAGTCCATTGGATTATAGTAACTGCCCCATTGTTTCATGGCAAGCCTTGATTGATGGGCAGTTAAAATTTCTGTATCTTTCTGAGATTTTAGGCATAAGCAGCCTTAAAGCACCAAATTGTTCTCTATTAGGATTTAAAAGACTAAATAAACCACATTGATGATATGATTCTTTATACCAACGTACTCCTCTGTGACAATCGCTATTATGTAGTCATAGCGGATATCAATCAAGCTTCAGCTGCAATGCAGATGGCTTTGAAAGCTAGAAAACATCCAACTCATTGAAAACAAATGTTTCAAAAGACGGTTTTAAGACACTGGACTTAGCAGGGGTCTGAGTCTTAAAACCACGAGGGGCCCTATTGTGAGAAAAATGGATATACTTGCCAAGTCTTTAAAGACTCGGTAAGTTTTATGAATAGACTCCGGCTAGTCACTTAAGAACCGACAAGTCCGAAGCTGTACATTATTAATGAATCACAGGAGAAATGACAAACTGTATTTTGATTTTCAGAGAATTTCAGGGGTTTTTAAACAGTGTATTTTCATTTTACCAGCTCATCCCTCTTTCATATTTCAGTGCATACCAAAAAAACACCGCTCTTTCATATTTCAGTGAAAACCAAAAGAACCCTAATACCCAGATTTAGTGGATTCAAGGGTGGGGAAGATTTAAGCTTAGGGGCTCGTGCGAGCATATTCCAGATAAGAAAGCTGGCAACTTGAAAGTTGAGGGAGGCATTTTGCAAGTACTTGGGGCAAGTTTATTATGTATCAAACAAAAAAAAGCCGATGACTAGTTGGGAGATTGGCCATTGTTTCATCATCAGAACTCCGGGTAACTATTCTTGGTCGATTTTATTTTCTTACTTATATATTATTATAATAATTATTATTATTATTATTATTATTATTATTATTATTATTATTATTATTATTATTATTATTATTATTATTATTGTTATTATTATTATTATTATTATTATTATACTAAATAAACCAAACCTATAGAGATCTACAGTTTTTCTCAAACAAAATATTTCTTGTTCCAGTATATTTCCAGTTTTAAACTTTCTCCATATTTCAACTAGGGACTTGGCAAGTCAACATGCCTCAGCACTTGGTGAGCCCAAGGGTAAATTAAAATTTTAAAACAAGTGAAACAATGAAACGTCGAGTAGCCATCATACAATTAATAATTGTGAACCATAGAATACGACAAAATAGTGCAAATAGTGAACAAAGTTCAGCACTGCCATCAAAATCCATCATGGCCACAGCCAATAAATTACCAAGATACATACAAATAGAAAAGACTGTTGACAGAACAGTAGGAGATGAGATGACATCACAGGATAATTTTATCAAAGTGGGAATAACCAGAAGAGTCCTGGAGCATCAAAGACCACCTTTGCTTCTCTTACTCGAAGTTATATACGTTCTCTTTTTATTGAACCATTATTTGCTCATTTTTAGCATCTGACCCCTGTTTTTCATTAACTAAGTATCTAGTAATATCGGATCAACAGAATTAGCTTATTTTCACACTTCAGCTACAAATTTTTTCTAGAATTTACATAATTTGATCCACTACAAAAATATATTCAGAAACGTTAATATGGATAACAAAAATCATTGCTTGATTTTTCTTCAAGAAACAATTTTCTTCTCAATAAACAAAAAAAAATGCGGGAAAATGTATGGGCAGCATAAAATGAGAGGTAGAGCTCCCAGAGGCCCACATCGTAAGTGTCCATGTTTTCTTCTTTTTTTGTTATTCCATTGCGTTGAGATGAGCTGATGGAACAAGACCTCCAAAATGCAAACAATCTCAGAAATATTGCCTATACGTCATCAATCCCTCTATTGACCCACCTGACCACATCAAAGGCATAGTCTTCAACAATTAGTACAAAGCCGATCCAAAAATAAAAAATCATAAAACTATTGATAGGATCCATGCCTTCACATGTCCAATAAACCCAATGAACGGCTCCTTCAATTTTCTAATCTCAGCCTCAACTAGTCTACAGGTTCCAACAAGACACCAATCAAGCCACGTTAAAGTTGAGCATGGTGAGATGCCCACCCAAAGGGCTCCTCCACTTTCCCATTCCCTCCAGTAGGTCACTTTGCTACCATTATCTTCTTCCATTTGCAATGCCACTTCCCCCTCAAATTTGAGATGATGCCCACCCAGTGGGCTCCTCCACTTTCCCATTCCCTCCAGTACGTCACTTTGCTACCATTATCTTCTTCCATTTGCAATGCCACTTCCCCCTCAAATTTCTGTACGATCCTCCCATATTAAAGGCCAAGAGATTAAACACAACTTTTATACAAACAAGAAAAACAAGATTATTGAAAACTAAATGAAATGCACAACAGAGCAGCAATGAGTCATAGCACTTGCACTATAAACCCTAGAGGCCTAGACTCTAAACCCAATTGCAGTGATAAGAAATCTCACTTCTCAAAATTTCTTGCAGTCATTTCAGGTATAATATAAGGTACAAACTTCTCCAGGAACTTTGTGAAACACTGACATTGTAATTAAATAGATTAAATACAACTAAATATTCTTAGGCACAATCCCTGCAGTTTGCATTCAATGTCTGATCTCATTTCCTTGCAAGAGAAAGAGAGTTCCAACCATGTCTTTCTTGGTTCTAAAGAAGGTCATCCAGGCAGTAGTGTCATCCATTCTTGCTTTTGATCATACTTTGAATATTTAGAAAGGTAGTATTAATGGCATTCTAAGCCTTGACCAACATGCACTGTTGAGGTGTCACAGTTATTATGTATGGTTGATGCACACTGCCCTAAAAGAGCCTATCTCCATAAGATATCCAGGCAAAAACCATGCAGCTTGCTACTTTTACAATAAAAAATGAATTATGTTTGATATTTCAACGCCATCAGCCGAATCAGAACTGAGAGGTAGTCAAACCCTTCAAGTCAAATGACAATGCACACGAAAAATGTAGCCCAGTAAAGATTTCATAATGTTGATACATGCATAAACTGTAGTGGTTGAAAACTGGGTTCATCATTCTGCTGAAAAAAACTGTTTCCTAACGGAATAGTGAGCAATAGAGATGATATGATAATTTGTAACATTCACCATTCTGTCAAAAACAACTCCTTCCTAAAGGAATAGCAATAGAGTTGATGACGAGAAAGAGACCATTGATTTATGGCAATATCATTGGTTATGTGATAAACTGATAATTTGTAACATTTTAAATGTTTAAAAATTTGAAAAGGTGGAATATAAAACCGATGACCATTTCTTTTGTTTGGCCTGTTCATTCTTAATATACAAAATGTTTACCATCAACAAGAAGAATCCAGTGTTCTTCCAATTCACAAAGAGAACAAAGGAATACAGACAAAGCAATAATTAATCAAAGCCAAAAACAATTTCTTGCCCAAAATAAATAAATAGATAAATAACTGAAGTTGATAAAGGTGCGACTAACATTAACAAACTAATCACAATTAGGCAAACTAAAATAAAAAAAGAGCATCCACTTCAATTATATCGATATCAAAAACACCAAAATCACAAATTTTCATACCACAAATCATCTACCTTTAAGCTCTTCTTAAACTCATGGCATTAACAGCCAGAAATGTAGCACAATTTAAAAAGAAAAGAGGATCTTTACTAACATGCAGGATCATTAGAGCAAGAAAGGGAACACGTACATGACATTAGGTATGAAAGCCCAATCACACATATACAAAGCAATACAATCCTCTTCTTCCCTTCCTCCACCAGGTCACGAACTGTTTGCTTACCTGGTGTCATCTCAGCCGCTCGATCAATAGCTCTTTTGATCTCTAAAATATTATCTCATGAATACCTTTCAGCCATGGTGTACCCTGAAACAGGCTTCGCTCTAAAGCAAGCCCGTAAATGGCTTGAACAAGCCAAAAGGGCAAGAATTCAGAGCTCAAATTTCACTGCTTCAGTTTTTGGGGAACAGATTCGAGCATGAAGCAGAAATCCCTAGGATTCTATCTACTTCTGCTCTCACATTCGATTCCCGAGGGAAAGATAAGAAGAAAGAAAAATGCAAATTGCTATGGTAATCTCTCTGAATTTTGGAAAATGATCACTACATCTCTCTCGTTCTCGATTTTGCAGCTTCTCTCTTGATTTTGGAGACTGCAAGTTCTCTCTCTTGATTTTGGAGACTGCTGTCTCCTTCAAAGACTGGTAGTCTCCCTCTCAAATATCACAGCAGAAATGCTACATTATCTCCTCTCTCTCCCCTTTCTCCCTCTTCTCTCTCTCCGTTCTCTAACTATTCTCTCTCTACTTTCTCTCTCCTCTTCTATTCTCTCACTTAAAAATTGAGTTTCATTATTGTGGGAAATTGCATGAGAGTTTTTAACGAGGGGGCGTAAAACCGGGAAATCGTGTAACTGTTGTATTGCCGTTAAAAGGCCCCTCTTCAACCCATAAATAGCAAAATGTGCCATTTTCAATCAGGGGTGGATGTATTTGGGCCCATGTTTTGGACCCGGACCAGGTCTTTCAAGTTTAAAATTTGAACCCATACTCGGACCAAGGTCAGGTCTACTGTCGGAGTCCCGAATCGGGTTGGATCCATTTCCACCCCTATTGCCAATGGAAACAAAAGCCAAGAGGCTTGGACGTTTTTCTTCTTAAATTTCAAATTTGTTCTATTTGAAAATTAAGTATTTAAGTTTCGAGTCCTAGATCAACTATTTATGGACTGCTTTTAATTAATAAAACATATTTTTCTAATTTTTTATGAGTTTTTTTTAAAAAAACTAGCATCAATGGATATTTAAAAAAGAGTTTATATAACCCATCACCTTTATAATATAAATTCAGGTGGACCTCAAAAACCTAACATACAATACTGTTTTTCGGTTGAAAACCCTTTATCATCTCAACATCGATGCGTATGGATATGAAAAAATAAAAATAACTTTAATTCATTAAAGTAGTGTGTCTTGTAATGCATTATCCTGTCCGTCTATTTTAAAAAAAAACAAATGCTTATAAATATGCTCGACCTATACTAATTTTTATGCTTTGAATTTTATAATTATGGGCAAAAATAAAATTTCATATCACCCCAAGGGTTTTTGGCACTAAAACTATATATTTCGACATAGTTTGGAGGTACATCATCTTTATCATTTGAGCTTTATCTATGATATTCGGAAGCAGTTATATAAATCTTAGTTTGCTATTCTACTCTATCAAAATCATATTACATTTTTAATTTAACGTAAAAGTACTTCCACATAGCATCATTTAGAGGAAGCGAATGTAATACTGGAAGAGCATATAATATTTTGACTTATTTATTTTCTCACGCTCATCTTAATAGGTTTCTTCCATAAAAAATTATTTGTTTCGTGATTTTTATGGTCAGGCATATACGAGTCATATGCTTTGAATGGTGGATGTAAAAGCCAAAATGCCAATCCTGTCCTAGACTTTTTCTTGCATTTGTGCATAACTACCGTCATTTAATTTCTTGTCAAAAAAAAAAACTACGGTCATTTAATAACTACAATAGAAAAATTATAAATATAAGGAAAATTTACATAGGGATTGGATTAAAGATTCGTTATAACGGAATTGCCTAAAAATAATCGGTCATTTTCAAGAATAACGAAATCTTCGATTTTATTTTATTTTTGATAATTTTGACTTCGGTTTGATGTTTCAAATATTGAACCACATCTTATCCCTATAATTAAAGCAACAGCCCCAAGAGTCATGAAAAAACCCAAAAATACTCGCCATTACAATAAGAGAGAGAAAGCAAGAGAGAGGAGAGAAAGCAAAAGAGAGCAAGAGGAAAGAGGAAGATAGGCGATAGATTTTTTAGAGCCGATCTTTTCTCTCTTTCTTGCTGCCGAGATGGTGGTTTTGCTTGTTGGTTTTGTTGAAAAACTCAGAGAGAGCAAGAGGGAGGAGGAGGAAAGGGCATCATCTGCTTTAGAGGAAAGCACCAAGCCACAGTTTGTGGCCTCCATGGAGGAAGTAGAGGCGAGAGATCGATGGGCCACATGTTGCTCCTAAGCTGAGGCATAAGGAGTTGTATTTTGAAGAGATTTGGGTCCGATGTTTCAAATATCGGACAAAAGTAAAAATTGTAAAAGATAAAAAAGAAAAAAAAAAAAAGAAGAAAAAGAATTATGTCATTCTTGACAATAACGGCCCATTTTTTGACAATTTTATTATAATGGACCTTTAGTCCGGTCCATAAGTAAAATTCCCTAAATAATAAATGTCTCAAAACATTTAGTACGCTTATTTTTATAGTTTGAAGTAGAATTCCAAATAAAAATGTCTTAAATCTTAGTAAATTGTCTTCATTCAAAGAAAATCATGAAGATTTGTACAACACATGAAAAGGAAAAACCGATCCATGCCTTCAAATACTATTGTCATCCCTTAGTGCTCCATGTTTTACAAGGAATTTATCAAACTACACCTAAAATTTAAACCATTTAACATTAATACTAATGCTTCGCGATCTATTTTCTTATAGTCTATCACTGTTTTGATCAAATTTCAATTAGCCCATCAAATAACACATCAAAGTGGACTTACATATTTATCAATTTTTACTTAGCTAAAATGTTAAATAAAACTTACTTTGATAAAATGTCAAATAGTCAAACTTTTAGATCTATAATGATAAATTTCCTTATTTTATCACCCTTATAAAATAGATGCCAAAATACTAATTATCGCCATGCAATTTTTTCTCAACCAAATTTCATACCTAATTGTTATATGATAACTACTGTTCAAACTAAAATGAGGAGCATATGCCACATTCTTGGATCTAAATCAAATGGACCCCATGCCAATCACATTGTGTCTTGATTTGAGGCCTAGTGAAATTATTGTGTGTCAATTCAAATCAAGCCTAAACCCATGATTTCATAATTCAAGGGATAACATACAATGTGATTGTCACATTTTGTATAGTCACTTGCACTCAAGTTGGTTAGATGTAAAAATGAATGATGGCTTGTGCTTACCTTATTTGTGTTGAGTGTAAGGATAATTTTACAGAGCTTTAAGGACATCTAATGATATGTCTTGAATCACAGGATTTTATATCGGACGACTAAAATTCATTTGTGAATCGTGATTGTTTTGCTTATTCTTTTGAATAATTTGGCATGTACAAAAAACTTGTTAAAGTTTATAGTCCTCCCAAGGTTTAAAAAATCGGTAGTTCAATTCGGAATCAAACGATCCGGATCGAAAATTGCCCAGGATGCTCTGGATTAGGTTAAAAAACGGGATTCGGGTAGTTTCAAATAGTAGAATCGTGATTTTTTCGTGAAACCTCCAATTCCGCCGATTATTCACAGAGTTTGGCTGATTCTTCACCGATCCTGAGATTCGTTATCGAGTCAAGCAAAAAAAAAAAAGAGGAACAATCTTTTCTTGAATTATTTAAAAAAAAAAGAAACAAAAATTACCAATTATACGGATTCTTTCTATCCAATCCATCGATTCTCCTAATCCAACATGGGTATAGGTGTGAACGATTCGAGTCACCAATCTATTTTCTTTAACCTAGATCCTTCTATAGTGCTTTTACAATATATATATTTACATAGACCTAGTTTCTATGCGGCCAAGCCCACATATGTAGAAATGCAGGCCTCTTAATAAATCTATTTTTAAGATGGATTTTAAGACTTAATTTTTAAAGACATATAATCTCTAACATGGAGATCATGAATATGAAAAATAAATAACTTTTAAAAGCTAAAAATAATAATTATAGTACGAAAACATTTGGACCGTTAGTTTCCATTATTTTTAGATGGAATATACATACTTGTATCCATCTTTGAGATGGATGCTTTACACTTTATGGACCGCGTATGTAGAAATGCGGTCAAGCCCGCGTGAAACAATTTTCCTATTTATATTTCGGACCTAGTTTCTATTTAGGCAAGCCCCTATATGTAGAAATGCGGGCTTCATGGTAAATCTATTTTTGAGATAAATTTTAAGATTTAATTTTTAAAGATATGTAATCTCTAACATGGCGATCATGAATATAAATAAATAAATAAAATTAAAAATTTAAAACTAATATTTATAGTAAAAAATTATTTGGACCGTTAGTTTCTATCGTTGTTAGATGGAACTCTTTAAAGCTGGATGCTTTTCTGGACCGCATATGTAAAAATGCGGTGCAGCCGCATGAAAAAATTCTCCCTCTCTAAAAGCTGCGTAAAACCTTCGTCTCTCTCTGATTTTGATGCAACAAGTTGCAGATGGCCATGAATTCAAAGGCACTCCTAAATTCTCAACTTCCATGGTTTGATACTCTCCATCTGCATCGAAAATAGACCACGCGTTAAATTCCTAAGTGTTTAATCTCTCTAACTCCATTTGCTGTGGTTTTGCAGGTTCCCATGAATTCTTAGCCATTTCATAGAAGGGGAACCCCAATTCTCCTCTACTGCCACAATAATGGCTCCTCCTGCTCAGTCTCAGAAGATCCCCCCTCCTTCACAACCATCTGGGTAATCTCTCTCTCTCTCTCTCTCTCTCTCTCTCTCTCCCTCTCCCTCTGTAACATCCCAACCTCCTGAATACACAGGGACCCCAATTTTTACATCTATCTAAAACTCTCTCTCTCTCTCTCTAACTCTATAACCATGGTGTTCCAGAAAAGGAGAAGTAAGCGATCTGAAGCTTCAACTGCGACAGTTAGCAGGGAGCCGAGCTCCAGGAACTGATGACCTAAAACGCGACCTCTTCAAAAAGGTGATATCTTACATGACCATAGGGATTGATGTCTCTTCTCTCTTCAGTGAAATGGTGATGTGCTCTGCAACTTCTGATATAGTTCTCAAGAAGATGTGTTATCTTTATGTTGGTAACTATGCGAAGGGAAATCCAGATCTGGCTCTTCTCACCATTAATTTCCTTCAAAGGGACTGTAAAGATGAGGATCCCATGATAAGAGGACTAGCTCTGAGGAGCCTGTGTTCTCTTAGGGTTAAGAATTTGGTCGAGTATTTGATAGGGCCTTTGGGGTCGGGGCTTAAGGATTCGAGTAGTTATGTGAGAATGGTTGCAGCCATTGGAGTCTTGAAATTGTATCATATCTCTGCAACTACGTGTATCGAATCAGAATTCCCTGCAACTCTCAAGACCCTAATGCTTCATGATCCAGATGCTCAAGTAAGGATATTCTCTGTTCTATTAATGTATTTGAATGATTTCAGGTATCAAGGAACTAAATTTACATTCATATTTGAACTGTAAAATGGCTCCTTGAGATTTACAGGTTGCATGGCTTAGCCCGATTACTGATTCTCCTAAATTGTGATAACTGCTTTTAGTAAGGATATGGGGTTTTGATGCTAAAAGTCTTAAAAAAAGTTGTGAATTGTGGGTTTTATATACATATGTGATCAATTTATGGAGCCAGTTTGACATATTTGAGCAGTTATCAGAAAAGATATTGCTTTTTTTTCATTTGGGAGTTTTTGAGAAAAATTTACATTTTATTGTATTTTAGTTGGTTTGTATATGAATAATTCTCCCCATTTGAATTGCAAAATGATGTGCTTAAAGGGCTAGTGAGATTTGCATGGCACATGTGTTAACATAATTATAGATTTACAAGGCATGCATTTATGTTTCCTAGGTCGTTGCAAATTGTTTGTCGTCGCTACAAGAGATTTTGAGCATGGAAGTGAGTGAGGAAGCCTCCAAAGAGAGGGAAACATTGCTTAGCAAGCCTATTGTATATAACCTTTTAAACAGGTACATTTATTGTCTGATCTGTGTATTATCATTTTACGTGTTTGGAGTAAATTTATTTCAATATTTGTGCCATTTTTGGAGGCTCAATATCCAGGTAAAAGTATTTAAACTTTCCATTGTATTTTCTTATTGGGCCATTTCTACTTTATTTGATTGCACAGGGCCATGGGTCCTTGAGGGTTTTGTCTGTAACATAGGAAAAGATGATCTAGTCTGAACTTGCTGGATATGGTTCAAACTTGTTGGGTAAAATAGAAATGGGTTGGACGCCCACTACTTATATTAACATTGATAGGAGCCGGGCGGTGGACATCTGCAATCTCTTCCTGGTCTTGCTTCTTTGCGAACATCTTTTGTCTTTGAGTCACATGCAATGTGAAATTTGGGCTGCTATAACTCTGCGGCAGACTATTGTCATCATTTTTATTTTGTTTTTCTGGATGGGTAATTACTGGGGGCTCTTTCTATAACTCTGCGGCAGACTATTTTCATCATTTTTATTTTGTGTTTCTGGATGGGTAATTACTGGGGGCTCTTTCTTTTCCAAATTTTTTATCACTTGTTGTTCATTAAATGTAAAAGAGTGTTTTTTAATGTAACTTACCTTCACTTAAAACAATTTATGGCCTTTTTCTTCAAAATTTTATTTTGTAGGATCAAGGAATTCAGTGAATGGGCCCAGTGCCTTGTACTTGATTTGGTATCTAAATACATACCCTCTGACAACAATGAGATATTCGATATGATGAATCTTCTTGAGGATAGACTCCAACATGCAAATGGCGCTGTTGTTTTGGCTACAATCAAGTTGTTTCTCCATTTGACCATGTTGATGACGGATGTGCATCAACAGGTACAGCTCCAAATGCTCTTTGTTGTATATTATCATTTATTTTCTTTAGTTTTGACTTAGTAGCCAAAAAGCTATAGGATTTCTCCTGTATGTTCCTCAAGAATTTACTTGTTTTCCCAGCCATCTAGGGAACTTGTTTTCTATCTAGTGCTTAACATCTGTTTGCATTAGGCCTGCTGGTATGTCCTATTTGAAATTGTTGATGGGTGACTTTTGCCTAAAGGTTAAGAATTGTATTTTAGAGTGTCATAATGTAGTTTTTCATTCCTATTATCAACATATAACAGCTCCTATCTGCTATCTCTGCATGATTGCTAGTTATACTATCCACAGTCTTTGACGACGAATTTGATAAGATAATTTCTTTTTCATTTTTTCTTGAAGGTCTATGAGCGAATTAAAGCACCTTTACTGACCTTAGTGAGCTCTGGGAGTCCTGAACAATCTTATGCTGTTCTCGGCCACCTCCATCTTTTGGTTATGAGAGCCCCCATGCTGTTTTCATCGGACTACAAACATTTCTACTGCCAGTATGGCCAACCATCATATGTTAAGAAATTAAAACTTGAGATGTTAACGGCTGTTGCCAATGAGAGCAACACCTATGAGATCGGTATGGTCTTGATCTAATTTTTCTGCACAACTATTTTAACAAATGGATGAGATTGTATGTACTTATCACTGTTATGATACTTTTCCCCTCTACTGGCTTGACTAGTACTTTTAGTGCTTAATGAGTTTTACATTCTTGATTATTCTCTGACGTTCTTCATTCTATTCCAGTGACGGAATTGAGCGAATATGCCGCTAATGTTGATGTTGCCATAGCGAGGGAGTCAATTCGGGCTGTTGGAAAGATTGCATTACAACAATATGATGTAAATGCCATTGTGGACAGGCTTCTTCAGTTTTTGGAGATGGAAAAAGATTACGTGACTGCAGAAACTCTGGTGAGTATATTATTCTGTATCCTATCACTAAATAGTGAAAGATTTATCATGACTAAATACAAAATGACAATGCTGCATTTTCTTTATTGTTGACTTCTAAAAGGAAATGAGTTCCCCTAAAAATGTTCTCTTAACTGACCACCCTGGTTCTCACTTGCAGGTCCTCATTAAAGATCTTCTGAGGAAATACCCTCAATGGAGTCATGATTGTATTGCTGTCGTTGGTAATATTAGTAGTAGAAACATTCAAGAACCAAAGGGCAAAGCAGCTCTTATATGGATGCTGGGAGAGTATTCTCAGGATATGCTTGATGCACCTTATACTCTTGAAAGTCTGATTGATAACTGGGATGAAGAGCATTCTGCTGAGGTAACTATGTTTGGCATATACATGGTTTTTACAATTTGTGCTGCATCCTGCCTTGTCAAATAAATAAATAAATTGCACCTCATGTGATGTGAATTTATTTGGTTGAAGGATCTCTGTTGTTGTGCTTTGCTTGAGAGGTAGTTTCGTTGGGCCTGATTGAGAAGATTGTAGAATCCTTTAAGTTGTTTCTCTATCATACAAATGTAAAACCCTGTCTCTCATTGATTGAGAAGATTGTAGAATCCTTTAAGTTGTTTCTCCATCATACAAATGTAAAACCCTGTCTCTCATTTTATCAGTGGTATTGTTTTGTAATTTTGAAGCGTCATTAGAGAATTATGATGTTTAAAGCAATCACAAATACTCGAAATTTCCTACAGAAAAACCATGGATAGAGATGCTTTCATGCATTTTCAGCATAAGAACATAACATTTATATTCTTCTTTTCAGAAAAAATATAGCATTTATATTCTTTGTTCATGACTTCAGCTTTCATCCCGTCCAATAAATGCATTCGTTTGGTGGTGTGTATGTATACCATTTGCACAACTGATTTATGAACCTGTCTCTTTGAATAGATGTCGCCAAATAATTGTTGTAAGTTTAATGTTAATTTAGAAGCTTGGAAGCAAAAGAAACCAATGGTTAGCATGATAGTCACATTTTTTTTTTTTTTGAGAATTGGTGACATTATATTTGCTTGTAAAATATGTTTACGGAAAACCCACGAGATGTGGGTATAGGTAGCCATGGACCCACGAGAGGTGACATTTTCTTTCTAGAACATTGAAAATTTGAAATGCAATGAGCTCGTTTTGGTCGGCCTATGAGAACCAAGGAGCTTGGGATGGAATAGTCTTCTTGAGGAAATGGTACCAAAGATTCTGTTCTCAGATAATTCGTCTTGAAAGGTTCCTCAACAATTGCTGAAATAAATTTCCTTTTGTATTCAGGGGTCCATCTTATCTCATCTTGGAAGTTTCTTTATCATTGTCAAACTTCTTAATGAATTCACATGTCTCCTTAAACCTACATGATGGATTTGGAATATGGTGTCTACTGATTAGGCTAAGAAATTTAGATCCAAAGTGGGATACAATTGTTTTGAAGGGAGATTTGGACAATATGCTTAAGGGCTAAGAGAGGGCAGAAACCTGCCTATGGTGTCTGCATAGTGTTTTAAGGAGTATGGCACCAACTCAGCTGTCTGCCATTGACTTTGCAGAATGTATTGAGAGAGTCAAACGTTCAGGGGGACATGCTAACTAGTGAGGGGTACTCCATACCAGAGTTAGTTCTTACTGTTTTTAGTGGTGTTGGATTACTTGAACTTGTTCCAGGACTTGGCTTAGGGCTGGAGTGAGTCGACTTGGTGGGATTTGCCTAGTCATGTCCAAGCCGGGCAAGTTGCCCATAAGAAATCCTGAAAAAAGGGGAAAAATTGTAAGAGAAAATCCAAAAGAGAGAAAATTTAAAATCATAAAAATTCGCAAAACCTACATACAAAATTGAAAACGATGAACAATTGAATCATTTATGTGAATTTAAATTGAAAAGAATGAATCTGAAATTCACTTACCCATACAAAATTTCAAGACCGATCCTCTAATATTTGCACTTAGTCTTTGTCAAAGGGTCCTCAAATACCCTTAGTGGAAACTCCTAAACTAGATTGGTATTCGCTTTCGGATCTATCCTAGCTCTTGAAATTTTGGATATGTAACGTAAGTCCCGAATATTCCCCAATGAGATTATATGGTCTGTCACAAGCCATGGATCTCATCAAAATGAATTTGCAGGAAGTAACTTCAGTTAGTCAAGGACTATGGCCCTTCATGATAAGGCATGTGGACACATTTATATTGATTGATTCTTATAATTATCAATGTGACATGTTAAGTTTTAATTAGGTCTGTTTTCCACCTTGAGATGGCATTTTGGCATCCCTTCCTGGATCGTTGCTCCCTTTTAACTTGCCTTCTGTACCTCTCTCTCATTTCTATACCAATGAAATCAATTTATTTCTTAAAAAAAAGATAATAAGGTCTATTTTCTTGTTGCTGATTCCATTTACCAATATACATAGTGCCAATTTTTTCTTCCACTGCTGACTGAATAATCGCATCGTTTTAGGTCCGGTTGCATTTGCTGACTGCTGTGGTAAAATGTTTCTTTAAGAGGCCTCCTGAAACTCAGAAGGCTCTAGGCGCTGCTTTGACTGCTGGTTTGGCAGATTCTCATCAGGTATGTCTTCGCCAATTGTGGTTTTACCCAAAAACCATTATACTGTGTAGGAGGTTATATTAAGTTCTTAGTTGATAGATGGTTGAATTTCTTTGAAGAAGTGATTTGTTGCAGGATGTTCATGATCGGGCCTTATTCTACTACAGGCTTTTGCAGTATGATGTTGCTGTAGCAGAACGTGTTGTAAACCCACCAAAACAAGCAGTTTCAGTATTTGCTGATACTCAGAGCAGTGAAATTAAAGATCGTATATTTGATGAGTTCAATAGTTTCTCTGTTTTATACCAGCAGGTAATTTCCTCATTCCCTATATGTGGATGCGCCATTTAATAATATGATCGTATATTTAAATTTTGTTTACTAGCAATGGGTTGTACTGATGAACAAACCCAGAAAGTTACAGCTGCATTTGAGATTCTTTGCTGCAATAGAGATAGAAGGATGCTGTGCCATGTTGAATGGATGCAGTTACATGTATCGATGTCAGACATGGGTACAGGGCACCTGTTTCCTCATGCCTGGAAAAAGATGATTTGGAAACAAGTAATGCATGTGATGTCTTAGTTATCGAGTATAAAATATCAGTAGAAATACTCATGGGCATCTTACTCTCCACAATGATATAGCTCATGGAAATCTTGCTCTTCATACAAGTTACACAGTTTATATAGGTATTCTCACTCCAGTGTTTGTTTCAAGGTATAGCAATTGGCTCTAATATGGGGGTTTTGATTGTGGATCCGATCTTGTTCCATATTGCAACTATGATCTGCATCATGTGACCTTGATAATGGTGATAGAATTATATTGGGTTTTATTTATTCCCCCTGTAGTTCAGAAATTTAAGTATCATTGTTCCTTCAGAAAGAATGAAGAAAACAATCCAAGCAGAGTTATTGGTGCTGTTCTGCTTGGTAACGAGAGAGGGTTTGCTTTCCAATTCCCTTTTTCCTAGTTGCTTCGGTGTGGGTGTGCATTGTGCTGCTAGTTAATGATTTTATTTTACTTTGATCATTTTCTTTTTAGGCTTGTAGGTTTTTTGATAGCCTTGTTGAAGCCCATCATAATGGTTTTAACTTGAGATCTGCAAGTTTTGCAGCCTTCCTACATGTTTACTGACAAGGAACACCGTGGACCGTTTGAGTTCTCAGAAGAAACTGCTAATTTGTCAATAGGAGTAGAATCTGCGGATAATGGAATTCCATCTCAGAGATTTGAAGCAACTGATAATGATCTTCTCTTAAGCACATCTGAGAAAGAAGAAAATAGAGGACCCAGTACTAATGATTCATCTGCATATAGTGCGCCTGACTATGCTGCCCATTCACAACAAGAGATGGGTCTCCCTACTTTACCATCCAATGTTCAACAGTTTGGCTTTGCCATCGATGATCTTCTTGGTTTGGGTCCACCTGTTGCAGCTTTGCCACCTCCTTTGAAGCTTAATAGTAAAGCTGTCCTGGATCCAGCAAATTTTCAGCGGAAATGGGGTCAACTTGCTACAGCTTTATCAAAGGTTCTCTCTCACTCCTCACACACTTTCTGTTGCGTACTTATTTATGTTTTGTCGAAAGCAATTTAGTGTGCACTTTCTATTTTACCTAATGGTATATATTTGTTTATTCATAGTGTCTCTCAGTACTCTGATATTTGCTTTACTGGAATACCAAAATATTTATCAGTAAAATTGTAAAACCACCTCAAAAAATCAATGTAAGTGGTTAAATTTATCAATTTACCAACTTGAGTTGACTCGTAAAAATATTTCACTTAGGGACCTCCTCAACCATTTTATTAGAAAATACCCAAATTGCCCTTATTCGATGTTTGGAATCCTGAAGAATTGAGGGCACTCTGGTAATTTGGCAACAAAAGTTGCTCGAACCAAATGACCTGAATAATGTTACTTATCTAGTTTCCAAATTCACATCTTTTGGTGCTTGGGCGACTTAAGTGGGACCAAGTTACCAAATTCCCTCACTTGTTTTGGGTTCCAAACCTGGAACAAGATTATCTAATGAAAAAAACAATGTTCATGATTGGGAATGCATGAGGATTTAGGTCATTGGTTCAACTGAATTAAGTTGGTAAATTACCAAAGGACCCTCACTTGTTGATGGTTACAAACTCAACAATAGAAATTTGGGCATTTTTCTATAAAATTCTTGATGAGGTACCCAAATAAAAGGATTTTAATAAAGTAACCATTTTGCTAGTAAAATTGTTGATCTAATCACCGCATTGAATTTTTGAGATGGTTTGATGATTTTTATGATATTTCCCCCAAAAAAATGACTATTTTAAAATGTGTAGAAATTCGGGAACAATAGGATAAAGCTAGTTCCTCCTGAAATGTGTACTTCGTCAATTTTCATTGATAAAATTTTAGGCATCATGAAGAAACTAAGGGGCAAACTGCATTTTAAAAATAACACTCTTGCAGGTGATTATACAAATAACCATGCAGTGGATCTCGTCAAAGAGTGTACTGTATCCAAACTTACCCATAAAAATTGGAAAAAACACACTGATTATATTTTTCCAATTAATGGCTTTGTGATTTCTGATTGTAATCTCTGATAAAGAAGTTGGGTCTTTGGGCTCTTGGTTTGGTGGTTACTTGTGACTTGCGAGAATAAAAGACCTATGTTTTTCTTTTCCTGTGATTGGTAGAAGGCCTATGAAGGATAATTACGCCACCACTTCCTAAATAATGAATTAAAACATGCTAATTTATCTTTTTCTTTTGTCTTTTGTTTTACAATGTTTAGTTATGATATATAGTAATAGAACTCCTATCATTTTTAATGTCATGGTTCATGAAATTGGTGCACATTATTGCAGGACTGCTCTTTAACACCACATGGTGTGGCTTCTTTGACGACACCTCAAGCCCTTCTCCATCACATGCAAGGCCACTCCATCCAATGCATAGCTTCGGGTGGTCAGCCTCCCAACCTCAGGTTCTTCTTCTTTGCTCAGATAGCCGATGAGCCCCAATCCACCTCTTCCTTCTTCCTTGTGAAGTGTGATATCAACACTTCTTCGGCAAAGGCTCAGATAGTGGTTAGAGCTGATGACCAGAGCAAATCTGATGCCTTTTCATCTTTGTTTGAATCAGCTTTGCTCAAACTTGGGACGCCATAATTCCCTCAAAATTTTAGGGTTCCATATTGAAGTATTTCCTCATGATTTCTTGGTTTGAACCCCCAGCTTAGTAGATTAGAAAGGAAAAAGGAAAACGAAGGGAAGGATCAATAATATGGAATTTTCCCTCTAATCATAACTGTTCTTTCTGTGATAAAATGATGACTCCAGTTTTGATCAGATGTCATGGTATATTTATGTATTATTGTGTAAAATGTTCCATTCTTTTGGTGAATCCAGGAAAATGCCTGAGTTTTTGGGAGCATTCTAGGAATTTTTAATATATATAACCAAATAGCACGTTTATATTTCCAGGAACTTGTCGGGATCTTGAGATTCTTGGCATGTTCAATTAACTGTTAACTGTTATTGAGTTGTAAAAGATGTTGTTTTCCTCATGAATAGTCTTGAGAGCTGTTGTTTATTAGTGATTTAGATGCCATATTATTTCTTACCATACCTTACAAAATCTTTGATCTCTGCCTCGTAGAAGGGTTGGGTTCTCGTAATTCTACTATTTATTGTTCAGATAGGAAGAAGATTATTTAAGATTTGGGCTATTACTGGATTTCAGAGCATCTCAAAAGGCCAAGAGAGAGAGAGATAGAGAGTGAGAGAGAGCATTATTCTTTTCCTTTTTGATCATGAGAGCATTATTCTTTAGGTGTATAAAAATATTGCTTAAAATTATTGCTGTGCGAACTTCAAAGTAATAAAAGATTCTATGCTCCTGCAAGTATATTTCCTCCATTGTACAACCCAATAGAAGGGTATTTTTAGGTACCTCGGGATATAACCTCCTCTTCAACCTAGCAAACAAACTAAGAAACATGAAAACTTCGCGGGTTCTTGATATAAAGTGTGATTGAAGCACGTCATTGTTGAGCTTTTTTTTCAACTAATTGGGTCAGGTATACGAATTTTGATATGTCATTCTATTCTTTTAAGGATCGTATCTTTAGTGAGGCAAAATATGCAATTGAGGCAAAATACGCAATTGAGTGCTGATTTTTTTTATCATCGTATCTCTAAATATTTAAGAATTCAAAATTGTGTTGTAAAAGTAAACATAAATTGGATTTAAAACTTTTAGATAAAAATTGTATTGTAAAAGTAAATCTAAATTGGATTTGAAAATTTTAGATAGACTTCTCCCAAGAGAGTAAATATACATTATGCTCCTATTAGGATCCTATACATGATCTATTCTTATATGAATTACTAGGGGAATACCCTGCAAGCTTGATTTGAAGTTATCAGAACTGGACTAGACGGATCGTTAGCTGGTGGGTGTTGGGTCTAAGGTAAAAATTGAATTTGGTTGAAAGTCTATTACAATTAATATTTATTTAATTTTAATTGGTTGATTAATTAAATAAAGTTTAACTTTTGAATATTTTTAAATTATTATATATTTTTATATTTTTTACAAAATATATTCTAACCATTTTAGCTGCAATTGAATCCGTTTTAGCTAGGGGTGGCAACGGGTCGGGTTCGGTTGGACTAGACTTGACCTTTCGGGTCCAAAATTTGGACCCATATCCAAACATGAGGTTGGGTCTACCTTCGGGGTCCTGGGTGGGGCTAGGTCGATTGCCACTCTATGATTACAAACTTCTTTTTTTTTTTGTCTTTTTTTTTTTACCATCATATATACATATTACTCAACATTTACAGTATTGCACATCATTTAGGAATACCCACATATTGCATATACTCACATTCTTTACCATTTTAAGTAATAACTAGAATTTTATAAGAAACAAACGTATTTACAATATATATGAATACCCACATATTACTCATATTGCTCGGGTCAGACTTAGACCCGTACCCGAAAGGTGTTCGGGTTCAGGTTTTGAATCCAGACTTGATCTTTCGAGCCCAAAATTTAGACCCATACCCATCCCTGAGTCTACTCGGTCCATTGCCTTATAAGTTTTAACTTATTATCCAAGAGAGAGAGAGAGGAACTTTCAAAATTTTAGCAAGGGGAACTTTTTAGTGAGGCGTGTGGTTTCCATAAGGTTGCAATCTTAAACAATCCAATTAAAACGCACCTCCAAATTTTATTATAACATGTAATTTTGGAGTATAACATTCTTACGGTTATCTGAAAATCTATTTTTACATCTAATTATAAAATGTAAAAGTTTAAAAATGGTTAAAATCAAGTAGAAATATAAATATATGAAAATCTTGAAAATGGATGGTCTAGATAATGTGTTGCAAGATGCACTATTTTTAAAACTATTTTTTTTTTTTTCATATTCATACATCTCGAGATGATGAATTCGAGTGTTTTTCAATATTGAAACAGCATTCTTGGATGCATTTTTGAGGTGCATCTCTGATTCTATATTTTAATGCAATCTTGTATAAACTCTTCCATTTAGGGTGTGTTTGATAACGGGGAAGTTAGTTCCTAAAAGATGGAATAGTATAGATGGAACTTACCCGGTAGTATTCATGTTTTGTGTTTGATAAGAAAATGTAAGATATCCAAAGAAGTTCATGATGTCGTATCTCTTCCCACTTTCACGCTTTAAAAAAAGTTCCGTTGAAAACCAGGTGGACTTAAAAACAAGGAACTTCATCCCTACCTCACCCTCTCGCTTCTTTAGCACCCTCATTGCCACTGCATTCCATGCCTCCGCCTCCTCCACGACTGCTCCTCCACGCCTCCACCTCCGCTTCCGCCTCTTCCACAACTGCTCCTCCTCATCAGGTACTTCTCTCTCTAATCCCTCTTCCTCTCTTTCCCTCTGTCTCTAACCCCTCTTCCTCTCTGTCCCTCTCCCTCTCTCTCTAACTCCTCTTCATCAGGTACCTTTCTTTATCCCATAAAAATTTCCCCTAAAACCAGAAATTTCATTATTGGGCATTTTAGGGGTTCTTTTGTGGACAATAAAATGTTGAAAGTTATTAGAATCGTTAGTTTTGGGTCTGCTTTATCTTGCAGGGTTTCAAATATTAAATCATTAATGGAGAAAAGATGCAATTTTAAAGTTATGTTTGGGGATATGGTAGAATATGGTTTTCTTGGGCATTTTAGGGCTTCTTTCGTGGACAATAAAACCAAAATGTTGAAAATTATTAGAATCATTGGTTTTGGAGTGTGCTTTATCTTGTAGGGTTTCAAAGATTAAATAAATGATGTATATTGCATTTTTTGATTTTCTTTTCATTATCTCTATCTCTTTTGTTTTCTTTTACTTTTTTTTCTTGTTGAGTTCTGAAAATAGAGTACCAGTTTGAGAGTTATTAGAGTTTTAATGCTATGAATGAGTCTTGAACTTCAAGGACAGGGGATTGTTAGTAAAAAATAATGCATTTTCTTTACATATTTCTGTTTTTTATTTTTATTTTTCCTTTTGAGTACCAACATATTAAATTTCAAGAAGAATTTGTGAATGAAATGTGGTTTTTTTTCTTTATTAACATTTTAGGGTTCCAAAGGAAATTTACCAACCCTGCAGACTGTATTCTCCTCCTTGCCCAACTGAATTGGGTTTTTTTACTGCTGTCTATGAGAACACCTTCTTAATGATGAATAGATGCCTAAGACGTCTTGCTTTTTTCAGACATTTTTTTTTTAGATATTTATGAATGGATGTCTATGAGATTGTTTTCTTATGAAAATGTGGATTTTTAGATGAAATTGTTAGTCTTTATTTGGATATTTGAATGGATGCCTAAGCAGTATTGCTTTTCAATCTCTTGCTAGATGCACTAAACATGCAATTTTTTAATTGTGTGAATGGATTCTTTCTAATTACTGCATCGATTGACATTAAAGATCGCCACAATCTGATTTGGATTTTTTTATTTATTGTGAAGGCTTTCTCAACATGAAAATGTAGTTATTTGGACAAAAATTTTAGCCTTTTTTTTTTTTTTTTTTCAGATTGTGGATGTCCAAGATCTGTCTTTTTTCTTTCTTGCTAGATGGGTCAAAGGTGCGATTTGAATGTGTCCAAGACCTGCCTTTTTTGTTTCTTGCTAGATGGGTATAAGTGATTCTGTTCATCACAACCGATATCATCTGTTTTGCTCTAGGTTGTTTTTTTGCCAAAAGTTGGTGTATTGATCTGCTATTGACAATTGAAGGAATGGATAGTTCATGGTGTGAGATTTATTGAAGTAATTGTTTTTAATTTTTTAGGGAGTCTTTCATTTACTCTCTATTGTCATTTTAGGGCGTGAATGATTGTTATGGGAAACCTGTGCTCTACATTTTGCAACTTTCACTATCACTTGCTAATCTTCCAGCATGTTATCAAACACAGAAATTAGGAACTTCTTTAACTTCCTAGGAGGTTATCAAACACAAAAACTAGGAACTTCTTTAACTTCCGCAGAGATTATCAAACACAGAAACCAGAAACTTCTTACAGTAACTTCTATCTTCCCAGCAGGGAGGAACTTCCAATTTACAGTTCATGAACTTGCTTCCAGTTATGAAACAGGTCCTTAATGAGAGAGAACTATCGAAGGGAGCACGGTTTTAGTGAGAGAGACCACCCACGAGAGCATAGAGCAAAATTTTAGTGAGAGATTGAGATACTCGTTAGATATAGAGAGACAGGGTTCAAGGGAGAGAGGGACTTACCAAACATAAAAGTTTTGAAATTTCAGTCAGTAATCAAGTGGCTATGGCATTTGAGAGAGAAAAAGGGAGGAAGACTTGTTAATGAGAGAGAGTAGAGAGAGTTTTATGTAGTTCATGGCATTTGATAGAGAGAGAAAAAGGGAGGGAGACTTCTTTAGAGAGAAAGGGAGGGAGATTTTATATATACTTGGAATCAGGACTCTATATCGATCGTGACTGTAAAATCAGGGAAGTTTTTTTCCAATTGTTGATGGTGGTGTAGAATCATGGGAATTTTTCTCAATTTTTGAGGGCTCCGGAATTCAAGAATACGTAGAATTCCTCTTTTATATACATGCGGCTAAATGCTTTGCTTCACTCTCTCTCTACATGATATCAGAATGGTCATCTTCAAGCGGGCAATTTCTTCTTCACCTGCCCTCTCCACACCGCTTTCACGCTCCGGTATGCTCTCTCTCTCTCTCTCTCTCTAGACTGTTGCAGAAGAAACTCCTAAAATTTAGTAGTGTGCTATATTCTTTTCCTGAAATTACAGTGATTCTACAGTTTCTACTGATAGTTCCTGACTACATAAAAAGATCATTTATTTTCCCCTTAAGCTAGCATAATCGTAAATTTTTTAGTAATAGGTTTGCAGAATCCTACATATCACTATAAAAAAAATAAGATGTTTTTTGGTCGAATAAGGGAAAAATTAGTTCTTTTCTTTTTTATCCCATTTAATATCTTTGAGTTGGGGAGTTTTAACCCTGTGACGTGTTATTTTTAGCTTCGAATTTGATTGCATTTGGCTTTCTCTGACAGGATTTGAATATCGTGATGATTTCTTTATTGGGTTTCAAATTTGGTTAAATTTTCATGTGGGTTTTGCTAACTTTGATGATTTATTTCTAATGGGTTACAATTATTTGAAAAAAAAATTGCGGTCAATGAAATTGTTGATTTGTTTGGAGTCCCAAATCTATATAGGCTTTGGCTGTTGTGATGATTTCTGTAATGGGTTTCAAATTTTTTGTTGAATTCTCTTGTGGGTTTTGTGAACTTTGATGATTTCTCTCTAATGGGTTTCAATTGTTTGATTTTGAAAAAACAATGCAGTTAATGAGATTGTCGACATGTTTCGAGTCCCAAATCTACAGACCAAGTTTCAAGTCCAGCCAGAAAGCCGGAACGCACTAAGGAAGGACCATTCAATCCGCACATTAGATGAAAGGTTTATCAAAATACTGAAAATTTTCAAATGGAGTCCGGATGCAGAGAAAGCCCTTGAGGTTTTGAAATTGAGAGTGGACCATAGATTGGTCTGTGATCTCTTGAAGATAGATATAGAAATTGGAGTTAAAATCAAGTTCTTTAAGTGGGCTGGAAAGAAAAAGAATTTTGAGCACAATTCAACCACTTACATGGCTCTGATAGATTGCTTGGAGGAAGCCAAAATGGTGGGTGAGATGTGGGGTGTAATTCAAGAAATGGTTAGAAGCTCTTGCCCATTCAACTCATCTGAATTGTCGGAATTAATTAGAATTCTTGGGAAGGCCAAAATGGTAGAGAAAGCCTGTTCTATCTTTTACCAGATCAAGGCTCGAAAGTGTTGCCCCACTACATATACTTACAATTGCTTGCTTATCTTGCTGATGCAAGAGAACCACCTTGAGAAGGTCCACGAGCTTTATAATGAGATGTGCAATGAGGACAATTGTGTACCTGACACTATGACTTACAATGTTCTTATCTCTGCTTTCAGCAAACTAAACCGAGGTGACATAGCATTTAGGCTTTTTGAAGAAATGAAGGAGAACCGACTCCAACCCACTTCAAAGATTTATACCACATTGATGGATCTTTCTTTTAAATCGGGGAGTTTTGATAAGGCATTGGCTTTGTTCGAAGAGATGAAAGAAAAGAATTGTGCCCCAAGTGTTTTTACATACACCGAGCTGATAAAAGGACTTGGTAAAGCAGGTAAAGTTGAGGGGGCTTACCAAATATTTCATGATATGCAGGCCAAGGGTTGTAGGCCTGATGTTGTCCTGATGAATAACTTGATAAATATTTTGGGGGAGGCAGGTAAGCTTGATGATGTGCTTAAAATTTTTGGGCAAATGGAGACATTTGGATGCCCCCCAAATGTGGTGACCTACAATAGTGTCATAAAAGCTCTCTTTAAGTCAAATGCTCCGGCATTTGACGCCACTTGTTGGTTCAAAAAAATGAAGGAAAAGGGTATTACTCCTAGTTCTTATACATACTCAATTCTTATTGATGGGTTCTGCAAGGCCAGGAGGTTGGAGAAAGCACTACTGCTGCTTGAGGAGATGGATGAGAAGGGTTTTCCACCTTGTCCAGCTGCTTATTGTAGTCTGATAGATGCTCTCGGAAAATCAAAGCGCTATGAAGCTGCAAATGAATTGTTTCAAGAATTGAAAGAGAATTGTGGGTCTTCTAGTTCTAGGGTATATGCTGTGATGATTAAGCACTTTGGCAAAAGTGGGCATATAAATGAAGCAATCGGTCTATTTGATGAAATGAAGAGACTTGGCTGTACTCCAGATGTCTTTTCATATAATGCTCTCATGTCTGGCATGGTGAGGGCGGGCATGGTTGATGAAGCTTATTCCTTGCTTAGACAGATGCAAGAAGAAGGATGCAAGCCTGATATCAATTCTTATAATATTATTTTGAATGGGATAGCCAGGGCTGGTGGCCCTAAACAAGCAATGGATATGTTGACAAGAATGAAAATTTCAGTAATCAAGCCTGATGTGGTATCTTACAATACGGTCCTTGGAGCTCTTAGTCGTGCTGGTATGTTTGAGGAGGCTGCTAAGGTCATGGAAGAGATGAGTGAAAAAGGTTTTAAGTATGATCTTATTACGTATTCCTCGATACTTGAGGCCATTGGGAAAGTAGATGAAGAAGTAAAGCTCTTAGTTAAGTGATTTTGAATTGGTAAGCTTTTGTAGTTTCATTCATCATCTTTTGTTCTAGTGTATGTTTACTTTTTGTGAATCTTGACTTATTTCATTCATTCGGCTTCTTTGTAATTGAGAGAAAGCTCTTTGAATGCTTAGTAAAAAATAACTTTTTTTTGAATGTTTGCTTAGTAATAAATATCGGATATACCAATCATTACCATCATCATCATTATTGTTATTTCATTGGCCTTCATATAGCAAAAAATTATGTTAGGTTCACTCACCTAATAGTTGAGGATTTGACCTTTTTTCTTATTGAAGCATTGTTTCTAATTTGTGTACACCTTCTGAACTTTTATATTTAATGATCTATTTTAGTGGCCATTGCAATCGTGGAGTTTCTGCCATGAAGTCTTTTAACACAGCTGAACATTTTTAGAAAATTGAATTTCAAGCTCTATTCCCTAGCCAGAAGCAATTCGATGGAGTGTAGCCACTCTTTAGATACTTGCTATAGGAAACTATATACATGCTTTTACCATTTTTGCTCTTAAAAAATTATATGCCATTTTGGTTTGGCATCAGTTAGGAAATCTAGAGACTAGTCGCTCTATAGTTTTGTATAATATAAATCCTCGAAGGGGAATGGATCTCAATACACCGGAGGCTCTCAAAAAGGAAAATATAAGTTGTTTTTCCCTTGTATCTAAAAACACCCATCCAATTGGGCCTTTACACCTTCCTCAAACAAAGTTATGCCCATATTTATGGACGTGGAGAGATTAAGGGGCCGAAAGCCAAAACACATAATTTAACAGAAGGGTGAGAATATTTATGCCAATGTATGGCATGGAAGCGCTACAAATCTGACCCTTGCAAAGTCTGCATTCAAGACTTCGATTTAAAATATCTTTTTATTTTTCTTGTCTGGTTCATGAAAGTGTGCACTAAATATGCATGTTAGGCATTTCAATTTCAAAATTAGCCTTTTAAACATGTCACATCATCATTTAAGAAAGGAAAATGTAGGATTCTTAGTGATATACATACTTCTACAATAATATTTCAAGAAGAAAGGTTAAGCAGTTATATCTTCTACAATAATATTTCAAGAAGAAAGGTTAAGCAGTTATATCTAGGTTTCTAAAATGTCAGAGGTATTCTAGTATACAAAATTGGTGAGCACACACATATGGAGCACTTACGGTTGGTGTTTGACTTGTTACGGGAACAACAATTGTATTTGAATTATAAAAAGTGTAAATTCATGACAGAGCCTTATCTTTCTTGGCTATGTTCTTTCAACTGAGGGGATCAAGGTTAACCAAATCAAGGTAGTAGCTATCAGGAATTGGCCTACTCCTACTACAGTGCATGATGTTTACAGTTTTCATGGGTTGGCTACTTTCTACAGGAGTTATCAGAGGCTTTAGTTTGATCATATCACCTATCACAGATTGTCTGAAGAAGAGGGGATTCGTATGGACTGTTGAAAGCCAAGAAAAGTTTTCAATTGGTGAAGCAGACGATGACTGAAGCACTAGTGTTAGCTCGTCCAAACTTTGATAAAGTCTTCGAGTTGGATTGTGATGCTTTACATGTTGGAATTGGTGCAGTGTTGAGCCAAGAAGGTCGCCCTATTGCCTTCTTCAGTGAGAAGTTGAATGGCCCTGACCGACACTATTCTACTTATGATGTGGAATTTTATGCTATTATTCAAGCCTTAAGGCATAGGCGGTATTACCTGATACAGAGGGAATTTATTTTCTTATCAGATCATGAAGCATTGAACTATATTAATGGGCAACATAAATTTAATCAGCAACATGTTCGATGGGTATCCTATTTGCAGGAGTTTACTTTTGTTATTCGGCATAAGGTAGGCAGTCAGAACAGAGTGGCATATGTTTTGAGTAGAAGGTCGACTCTATTAACTACCATGACAACTATTATTGGGTTCGAATTTATGAAGGATCTTTATACAGATGATAATGACTTCAGGGAGATATGGGACTATTGTTACAGTAGAGTTGGTGGGGATTTTCTTATTCAAGATGGAATTCTCTTTAAAGGAAATTGTCTTTGTACTCCTGTAGGTTCTCTTAGAGAAACCCTAATAGCAGAGCTTCATGGGGGAGGTCCTGGTGGACATTTTGGTCAAGACAATGCCATAGTATTGGCGGAGTCTAAGTACTGCTAGCCAAAATTGAAGCGAGATGTTATGCGGTTCGTTGAGAGGTGTCGAACGTGTCAGTTGGCAAAATGGCAATGACAAAATACTAGGCTTTATTCTCCACTTCCTATTGCTAATACCAAGCTTTATTCTCCACTTCCTATTCCTAACGTACCTTGGGAGGATGTTAGCATGAATTTTGTTATGAGACTTCCAAGTACTGAAAGGGGTATGGATTCTATATTCGTGGTGGTGGATAGATTCTCAAAAATGGCTCATTTTATACCTTGCAAGAAGACTCTCGATGCCACACATGTTGCTAACTTCAAAGAGGTGGTGATGTTGCATGGTGTCGTAAAGACGATAATTTTAGATCGGGATATGAAGTTTCTCAGCCATTTTTGGGTGGAAGAAATTGGGCACTCAGTTACAGTTTAGTAGCGCTTATCATCTGCAAACAAACGGCCAGACTGAAGTGGTAAACCATACTCTTGGCAATCTTTTGAGAAGTATTGTGAGGGAAAAGAAGAAACAGTGGGACCTAGCACTGCCTCAAACTGAGTTTGCCTATAATAGTGTTTGCAGTAGATCTACTAGTAATAGTCCTTTCGAGGTGGTATATGGGAAAAACCATACTCGATCGCTTGACTTGGTTCATGTCCAGGCCAATGGGGAGGGTCATGCTACTGTTGAGGACTTGGTTGAACAAATGAAAGGAGTGCATGAACAAGTGCATGTTAGTCTAGAAACCAGTACAACTAAATACTAGGAAGCATTGGACAAGCATTGCTCTTTCAAGGAGTTTAATGTGGGAGACTGGGTAATGGTATATCTCAGGAAGGAACGATATCCAGTGGGAAAATATAGCAAGCTGAATGATCGCAAGGCATGATGATTCAAGATTTTGAAGAAGATGGAAAACAATGCTTACAAGGTTGCTTTGCCTTCACACATGGAGACTTCAGACATCTTCAACATTGCTTATCTGTCAGAGTATCATGGTATGGAGGTGCATGAAGATGAAGATGTAAACTCGAGGGCGAGTTCTCCTCAACCCGGGGAGAATGATGAAGATCAGAGCACAAGAAGTTGCCACAAGTATCTTCTTTTGGAGCGACATGTTCCTTCTAATTTTCGCTCATATTAGGAGGATGAAAATCCTAAGAGGGCTTCCAAGAAGAACAATAAGAGCAAGAAACGATTTTGGTGTTTTTTTTTATTTTTATTTTATTTTTACGGATATTTTAGATTTATTTATTTAATTGTTGGACCAGAGATTTTTTTGATATTTTAATTAAAGTTAGGGAGTTTAGTTTAAGTTATATTTAAGTTAAGACCTTTTGGTCAAAAGTTAAATTGTATGGATAAATATTGTCCAAAACAATAATTTTTAATATAAATAAGGACAAGGATGGATTGTAGAGTTATTCATGTATTCCTCTTTAAGACAAGAAAGTGTTTATCTTGTAAAAAAAGCCTAAGGCTTGTGTCCTAGGTGGGAGAAAACATTAGGGTTTCTCCAAAATTGTGTGCTTCTTCTTGATTTTTTTTTTGTTTCTTGAAATTCTTGGAGGGGATATTGATTCGTGAAATCCATCCTATCTTTCTAATTCTCGGAGGGGGATTCTTGTAAAATAAATTGGTTTTTCAAGAATTCCACCCATGAACTTGTGGTTAATCATTTGAGGTTCTTAAAACCTTTTTCCAATTAATTGTGGTTAGCTTGGAGTTAATAATCTTTGTAAATCATAACCTTCCTTTCTTCCCATTTATCTCTATCATTTATCTTTCCTTTCTTCCCATTTATCTCTATCATTTAGAAATCTCCTTAGCTCCATCTATTACAGACCTGATAAATCTCCTTAGCTCCATCTATTACAGACCTGATAAATCTCCTTAGCTCCATCTATTACAGACCTGATAAATCTCCTTTGTTTCGAATGTAAGCTTATCATTGAGTGTGTTACCATCCAGTACTTACAAGAAATAAAATGCACAAATCACTGCAAAAAACGTTAGAGAGGATGTAGAAATAAAGGGAGAGGTTTCTATACTTCTGCATAGGAGATTCATCCAGCCATCCAATTTAAATTAAATTAGAAATAAAGGGAGAGGTTAGTATAGGAGATTCATCCAGCCATCCAATTTAAATTAAATAAGCCATTCCTATTGATAGAAGTTCAATCCAGCCATCCAATTTAGATATTTCAATTAAATAAGCCTTTGAATGTTTGATCTAGATTTGACGCTTCATATTATTTTATTTTTATTTTTATTCTATGAATATAAAATTTGTTAAGTGCCATCATCTCAATGAAGCCTATCTAAAAAAATAATAAAAAAAAAATTTATAAAATAAAATGATCAAAATACCTCTAAAACTTTCATGAATATTGTGGTCACTTTATTTTATCAAGAATATTTTTTTATAGTTTTTGCAGATGTGAGTTTAAGATAAGCGTGGACACCCAAAATCTGGTGTCAAAATATTTTGTAGAAAAAAATTAAAAACAAAACAGTACAGAGGCGTAATATTGTAGTTGGATCCATCTCAACCGTTCATTCAAATCTGACGGCTAGATAAGGAGAACTATATATTTATTATACATTAGAGGAAGTCTAGAAGGCTTGCCCGAGAAATAATTAGCTATATTCCGTGAGTTAAGTTGTTTTCATGATAAAAAAACAATGGGGTATCAATAACACCAATGAATACAAATCAAAGAATGCGCATAAGAGTTACTCCAAAAACTTTAACCCCTAAATTATTACTCTGAAAACATATGATATTTTTCACTTAGAGAGAAGCCGGAGACCTGCTTCCAAATCCTCCATGGTGATCGTAACCAGGCTCTGAGCATCTGCACAGTCGAAGTCAAGCCTGAGATCCAAATTCTCCCTTGCATTCTCAAGCATGGGATCCACAATACCCCCATTCAGCTCCTTCCTCTGTTTCTCTGATGTTTCTCTCTCTATCAAATCGGCAATTGCCTCGATATAGCAGGTGGGGTGCAATTTAAACCCATATAGCAAACCATCTTCAATCTGGTTGTTCATCTTCAGAAGCACAATTTCGGCTAGCTCTCTAGGGCTCAAGTCATCAAAGAAGAAAATTTTTGTTACCCTTCTGCAGAAGCCTTCATTGGAGGAAATAACCCTTTTCATTGGCTCTTTGTAACCAGCAAATATTATGATAACCTTGCCGCTATCCATGACCGACATGATCTCCTCGAGAGCTTCCAAGCCATAGTCCTTGTCATCTGCTTTTTGCATGGGTATCAGTCTGTATGCTTCATCTACGAACAAAATTCCACCCTCTGCCTCCTTGATCTGCGACCATTGTTATTAATATATCATACAACGTCTTTTTCTTTATGAAATTACAAGAAGGGATCATAAATTTCCATAAATTAACAGTAAATTTGTTATCCTAAAGAATGAGGGAACAGAGCAAAGTGCGGTCGAAAGCAATACTTTTTTCCTTGTTTTAGGTCCTGTATGCCCAACAAATTCGCCAACCAGATCTGTCCTCTGAACTTCTGTAACTTTATCAGTAGGTAAGATTCCAACCATATGCAGAATCTTCCCAAGAACACGAGCAACCATTGTCTTTCCTGTCCATTATATGAATAATTCTTTGCCTAAGCAATTGAACAAGATGGCAACATATGTAGAAAGTTAAAAGAAAAGATATCTCACTTAATGAGAAAAATAAAGTCAAGTACCAGTTCCAGGGTTGCCAAGAAAGGCCATGTGAGGGGATTTTCTAGGAGCTACTTTAAGTCCGAGTGCTCTGCGCTTCTCATCTAAAAGCATTCCCTTTGCCCATTTCCTCAATTGTAGTTTCAGTTCATTTAGGCCCACCATATTTGCTATCACTGATTCCAACTCTTCCATCTTGGCTTTTGTCTCACTACAAGCTTCCATAGCCTTCCTCTTCATCTGCTCTTCAAGATGGCATTGCAACAGTTGTTGGAGATTCTCATTGCCTGGGCCTTGAGAAAGGTGATTAAGAGGGGTCATACCATCCTGTAGAGCCACAATCTCCACTAGTGACTTCTCAACATTCATACATATAGTGAAGAGTTAAAACTCTATAACTTCACAAAGCGATTTTGCTGATATGAGAATTGTCCATGAGTGATCAAGATTATTTGAAACAAAAAGTTTTTCACTTATATTTTCATTACCAAGCGACTCTCTTAGAAAAAATAATAGAATCCATAGAAGGTTATAATCACTATACCGAGCAGTAATTTTTTAATTTTGAGAAGAAAAAGAAAGTCTACTTACATTATCTGTAATATTACAATCTGCATTGTACTCTAGAAATGCTTTAACAGTCAAGATATCTCCTTCACGAAGCGAGTGCCAAATGGCCAAGTGCAATGGTGTCATTCCATTCTGAAATAAATTTAGCACAAAGAAAAAACCACTAAGAAAAAATTACAAGAAGATCGCAAACAATAACCAAAAACAATCGGAAAACACAACATAGCAAAAGATAGACAAGGCTGAATGCAAGGGGATTGAATGAACAGATATTTGTTTGGAAACTCATCCTTCTCCCTCTGACTTTTTTATGTAATGATGCTCTCTTTCTCTCTCCTCCTTGTGCACACCACTTTTTTGCAGGTGCTACCACACTCACTCCTATCTGCAAGCATTGCAGGATCACCTCTAGGGGAGAGCAGCTGATCTCTAACCCTCTCTTCCCCTTTATTTCTTCTCCCGTCTGAGCACCCACCTTGTGCGCTGCCACCTCTTTCCTCCCTCTATCCTGAGCACCCTTCATGTGGGATGCCTTTTCTGGTTTCGGCTTTCTCTTTCTTTCTCTCTGTCTACATGTATGCACGGGCCTCTCTTTTTCTTCCTCAACTCTCTGTATGTATGGGCCTTTTCCTTCTCCATCTACCCTCAGTGTGAATGATTTTTGGGACGGTGTGACCTTTTAGAATGACGCCAGTCTAGCTCCATGCTGCATTTTTGGTTTGACTTTGCTTCTCTCGCTTCATCTGTTCTCCTTTTCCCCCTTCTCTCTCACCCGCCTCTCTCTTCTCTTTTTCTTTTTATGTTTTTTATGTCTTTTTTTTTAAGGAGCACCCAACACGTGGGCAGCCATTACAGCCCACTCCTTGTGAACATTTTCTGTAACTATCATACAAAGTAATACATTGTCACCTTTTCTCAGAAAAACATACCTTTTTTCCCATATTTCTTAAGCCGTAAAACGACAGACCTTCTCTCTCTCTCAACAACAGAAACACCATAATTTTTTACTATTGAGACATAATGGAACTCTTCCAAAAAGTGATCCAAAACTAGGACTTGCTACAAGACTCAGTAAGCGGAAAAACTCAGCGAATCCCAGGTGGACTCGCCACGTCCTGCCCAAGTCCAGGAAAAAAGGGTCCAAAAAAAAAAGGGAAAATCAGGAAATAAAAAAAGGAAAACACAAAATTAAGAAAATCATAAAAATTATTAAAAATCATATACAAAGTATAAAATGATGAAATTAGGATTTTTTTTTTTTTTTCCCTTCCTCTTTTGAAATTTTCTGCCAAACCCTATTCTGATACTCCAAAACTTGCAAATCCAAGATTTTGAGCTTCGTTTGTTGAATCTAAGATTGGCATTCAATAGAGAACAAAAACATAGGCCCAAGGACAATTTTACAAGGTAAATTGAGCTAGGCTTGCAAAACCCTAGTTTGAAAATGAAAATCTGCAAATTCTAGATTTTTATTTTTATTTTAGTTTTTGGTTGAAACCGCTAATACTGTGGAGGATAGGAAAATACACTTAGGGACAACTTTTCAGAGATATTGGAGCCAAGAACAAGGAAGAACTCGCCTGAGTCCAACATAAACTTGCCCAGACTACTGTCACAACTCAGGTGAGGGCTGCAGTAATGGTACCTAACTTGAGTACGAGTGCTTGGACTTAGAGAGTTTTAAACCACTGATTTCAAATATGAATACTCAAGCAACGACTACATAAACAAAGACCTTGAGAAAGAGCCTTCCACAAGTGTAGTTATCAAAATGAATATGCTTACATTGGCTTTGGCTTCTAAATGAGCTCCATGGTCAAGAAGCAAACGAGCAGTTTCGTTGCTGCCATTTTTTGCAGCCATATGCAATGGGGTTTCTCCATACTGCAGAAAACCAAGAAACAAAAAAAAATGTAAGACAAATGGAAAAGGCAACAGTGAGCTTATTTTATATGCCCCACCAAAGATTAGTGAAGATTGTCATGCAAAAGTGAACAGAAACAAAATTCAGCTTACCAATTTTGTCTACCTTCCCTTGTCCAAATAGCTATTTCATTTTTTTTTGGAGAGAGTTAACTTTCTATTGAAAGAAGGAAGGAGTAAAAAATTGCAGCAGGAAATTTTGGGAGCTATTTACAATGGGGCTCCCTGAAAGGGAAATCATATACAGACTTGTAATGTCATAAAAGGAAAACAGGTTGGGTAATTCCATCACATAAGGCAGAGCCTGAGGTTGCAAAAAAATACTCAGTCCCCTAAGCTTGAAGCTCCTTCTTTGGTGAGGGTGTCTGCGTGAGAGTTGCATTCATGCCAGACATGTCGCCATGACACTGTGATACCCGAATACAAGTGAGAGATTTCTTCAAAAATGTGCACGGGGGACCAGGAGTACGTGGTAGTGCCAAAGGCCCAGCGAATTACATTCATCGAGTCTCCTTCGATTTCCAAGGCTGATGACCAATTGCGATCAAATAGCTATTTCATTGTCTTTATCAGTTTTTTGTTTTGTATATGCATTACACTTTCTAATCAATGAAATACAATTAACAAAAAAAGATTAGCTTACCATATTCTTTGCTTCCATATCTATCTTCTCAGGTCCCTTCCAATCAAGAAGAAACTTCACAATCGCAGCATTGTTGGAAGCAGCAGCAACATGAAGTGGTGTCTGAGCCATCTGGAATTGAAGCATGCAGAGTTGGTAACTACAGCATAGGAGAAAAAACTTGAAAAGGTGACATAAGGAACTAAAAATCAGAGGAAAAAAAAGAAGAATCTTGCAAATTTACATGAAAATAAACCTAGCTATATAAACAGAAAAATTTACATGAAAATAAACTTGAACTTTTAATTTAGCAATAATAGTCAATAATCATGAAAGAACTACATGGAACTCAATATGATTGTGGAATTCAATCAAAGTTACAACACTATTTTCAGATTCTTTTATGATATATAATTTATTCTAACATACACTGACAAACATTCACATCTTCATTAAGCGCCTTATTGACTAACAAGTACATTCAGTTTTTAAATCAAATGAATATATATATATATCAAGCAGACAAAAGTCACAAAAAAAATTATTTCAACCCAAGTTATATATCCATATCAAGAACATAAACTTGAGGTTCTCGCTTAATTACGCAGATCATGCCTGCAGTTGAACTAAACTTCAGAATAATACTTAAATAGCATATTAAATGAATCATAAGTGTTTAAAAATGAAGAAAGAAAATAAAGAAAGACAATGAAATAGGAAAAAGAGCTGATCTTCAATATACATTTGGGCTTTCTCGAATCAACATGACATCTCTGATCTAGACCCATTCAATTCAATAAATAAAAAATTTCCATCAAAATGAATAGGACACCAGCCCCTAACTTTGGGCCGCCAATTTTATAGCAATGCAATGGGAATTAATCATTAATGTAAACCACAACAAATGTCCACAAAACAATTAAATAAAAAAAGGAATCAGCAACAGAGCCTGGAGAGAGAGAGAGAGAGAGAGAGAGAGAGAGAGAGAGAGAGAGAGAGAGAGAGAGAGAGAGAGAGAGAGAGAGAGAGAGAGAGAGAGAGTAGAGAGTAGTAGAGTAGTAGACGTACGTACAGTAACGTAGTAGGTAAGTACGTAACGTAGTAACGTAGTAACGTACGTA